CGGCGGGGGCTGCACTGGGCAGCAGAAGTCCTGCGCCCAGCCGACTGGCCTCGGCTCATCACGAGGTGGGAGCCCGGGCTGCTCTGAACTCTGGTGAAGGGGAGAGGCCAGGCCGCAGCGGCTGCGGCCACGCTCTGGCCACGGAGGCAGGCGCCCCACGGAGGGCGTTCCCGGGTGGGCGGCCCCGCCCCAGTGCCCACACACGCCCACTCACTCACCCAGGAATGCCGCCGGCCTCCATCTTGTTGGCCACCGTGACGTCGGTGGACCACACGTCATACTGCCAGCGCTTCTGGCCCAGGACGCCCCCCAGCACCGTGCCCGTGTGCACCCCCACACGCATGTCCACCCCGGTCTTCGTCTTCTCCCGCACGTACCTGCCACGTGCACATGGAAAGGGGGGGTCGGAGCACGGCCACGCAGGCGGCAGCCTCCCCCCAGGGGCGCCCCACTTACGAGATGGCCTCCACCATGGCCAGCCCCATGAGGATGGAGCAGACGGCGTGGTCCTCCCGGTAGTCGGGCAGGCCGCAGATGCAGTAGTAACAGTCGCCCAGGATCTTGATCCGCAGCTGGTGGTATTTCTGAAAGGGCAGGGCAGGGCCTGGGTCCCCGGCACGGCAGGGGCGCACAGGCGGGAGGAACGGCCGGGGCCCCCAGGCTGGCAGGCGGACACGGCGGGCACTTACTTGTGCCAGCTTGTCGAAGCGGGCAAAGAGCTCGTTGAGCAGCTTCACGAGCTCCTGGGCGCTGCAGGTGGAGGACAGCTGGGTGAAGCCCACGATGTCGGCAAAGAGGATGCTGGGGGGGCACAGGCCTGGGTGAGGCGCCAGCTCCCGGCCCCGGCAGCCGGATGGGGGTGACAGTCCTCGCTCACGCCCCAGCGCAAGGACACCCAGCTCTTCCCGGGAAGCGGCTGCCCGCGCCCACCCCCGCGAGGGCGCGTCCTAGCCCTGCTGCCCGGCAGCGAGGCTGCTTCCAACGGCTGAGGCTCAGGCCTGGCTGGTGGCCGGTCCCGGGGAGACTCTGGAAGCCCAGCGGCTCGCACGGGCCGCACCTGACATTCTCGTGGCGATACATGTACATGGTGTTGAACTGCTGCTGGTCCTTCTGGCTCTCGTCCTTCTTCATGTCCTTTAACATCTCGTCGGCCACGTGCTTGGGCAGGATGGAAAGCATGAGGTTCTCCTGTGAGGGGGCACAGGGTTAGTGGGGAGG